ACACATGCACCCGGCATGAGTTTTAAGCCACCGGATCCGGGACGCGAACCGCGGTCGACTACATGGGAGTCCAGTGACATAGCCATTATGCCAACTGCTGGTCCCTATAGAGAGATTTTTGTGATAGGGCATGCACACTCACCGACGAGACAGAGAGCGAGCAATCACCCCAGGGGATGGCCACACCTCAGTCGCTTCTCCATTCTCGGGATTCTGGGCAACGCAGGCACTCGTGCCCGGCGTGGGTTTTAAGCCGCCAGGTATGGGACTCAACCATAGTCAACTGCGTGGGAGTCCAGCGGCATGACCAACGTGCCATCTGCTGGAGGACGACATCCTGAGAATTCAGAGCCCCGTGGCCATCGTTCCAAATGCAGAGCTCTGGGTTCTCTAGCAGAGACTTCCTAGAAACCCTGGTTTCCTGCTGTTCCCTGTCCACCTAACGTCCTGAGAACCTTGCCGACGGGTCACTTCTCCCGGGCCCACTGCGTGGCGAGCCCTGGGCGAGTCTCCACGTCTGTCAAGTTTAGAAATCGTAGTCCAGCTTAGCCATCATCATCCCCGCTTCACAGATAGGGAAGCTGAGGCTCAAGAACCCTGGAAGCTATTTGCCCAAGATCACACAACCAGGCCACCCCTTTTTTTGAAAAGTCCCTGATGGGTGCCGGCAGGTGGCGTGGTGGTTAAGGGTGCTGGACTCCCACGTGGCCGACTAACTCGAGTCCTGGACCTGGCAGCTCACTTTCTCACTTTCTCTCTCTCTCACTCTGTCCTTCTCTAGTCAAATGAAAATAAATAAAGTTAAATAAAATAATTCTTTAAATAAATAAATAGTTCTTTTAAAAAACAGAAGTCCCTGGTGTAGACATAGTCTACAGTGATAGTCATCTCCAGCGGTTTTTGAAAATGAGTCGGAGTATAAAGTAGGAGTCAGAGGAAAGGGTGAAACTGGGCAGGCCCCCCCCACCCGAGGGAAGCCAGACGTGCCACCTGTGCCCCTCCGGGTGTCCTGGGGCTTCACCCAGTCGTTGCGGCGCTCTTGTCTGCCTGCCGCTAGCTCGTGATGATGCTGGACAGCCCTCGGGGGCAGTCCGTCTGTCTCAGGCTGGGCGGGCTTTGGGGCGCAGGGCTGGGACCTGAGCCAGCGGGGCATTCTCCCTGCAGGACACTGGTCATTCCCAGGGGATTTCTTCTTTTTGACAGTCGATGTCAGTGTTGAAAACCAGAACTCTTTGGTGGTGCCTGGGTTTTCAAAAACAATTCGAATACTTTGGGGAGTTGGTGTTTGTCTGGGCTCTGCTGAGAGCCCTTCGTGGTGGCCATGCTGGTGGGAGCGCAAGCAGAGCCCAGTGATTTGGGGACTTAACCAGCACCCGATCTTCGAGGGCCTGCCCGGTGCTGGGCACAAGCACCCAGAGGAGGTCACTCTGTGGTCTCCGCCCTCCTGGAGGCCCTGACAAGTCCAGGGATAGCCCCGCGGGGCAGGGGCAGTGCCTTGATGGGCTCTCGTGAGAGCGGCCGTGCTGTGTGGGCAGAAACGACACGGGGGGAGATGGGGTGAGCAGTGTCCGTGCAGAGGGCCTGCTTGGCGCCGTTACATGTGGGAGAGCCCCAGGAAGGCGGGGCATGGTGTGTCCCCAGCCCGCCTGTCGAGGGCCTGCCGTGCCCTTGTGTGGGTCAGGAGACGGAGGCCCTGCTGCAGCGTGCCCGGAGGGCACTGGTCTGGGCAGAGTCAGGCCCAGACCCGCGTCCTGTCTCGCTGTCGTGCTGCCTTCACGCATGCTGTGGGGTCCAGCCCAAGCCCTCCCGCACTGCACCCGCATTCATGCCTCGAAGGTGCAGCCTGAGGTGCAGCTCCCAGGAACCGGCCGGCAAGGGTCTGGCCTTCCCCCGGGAGGCGGAGGGGAGCAGGGATGGCACAGTTGGACTGCGACCCGGGAGGGTTCATCAGAGCTACCTGCGCGGGCTCGTCCCACCTCTGCCACTGAGAACTGGAGTGAGGGACTCCGGTTACACTTCAGCGACAGGAGCGGTTGGCAGAGTCCACGGCCCCGCCTGTGTGCGCATCAGGCCTTCACAGCTCCTGCTGTGAGTGCCCAAAGCGACGAGGCGCAATGGCGAGCGCGTGACCCAACCCCCTGGAGGTGAGATGCAGGATCGTGAGTGGAGGCTGGCCTGGGCACCCGGCCACCGCCTTGTCTCTTTCAGGGAACATGAAAGTAAAACCTGCTCGCTCTACCCGTTCTTTCCTAACGGACGCTCTTTCCCACCCAGACGCGCCCTCGGCGTCCTACCCGAGATGAGGCGGCAGCCGTGATGCTGCTCTAAGGCCCCCCCCCCCCCCCCCCCCCCGCCATGGGAAGCCAGGTCAGACTGCTCTCCCATCCCAGCCTCGTTCTCACCGGAGGCCTCCATGGAGCCGTGGTGCGGCCCGAAGTCTGCCGGCGGCTGACCCTACCATAGCCAGAGAGGCTGGGCGGTGCAGGCAGGGACGGCCTGGAGCAACCCAAGCAGCAAAGCCAGCAGCTCCCTCCACCAGTGTGGACGGGAAATCCTAGCCGAGGAGAGCAGGGAACCTGGAAGGCCGGGAGACGGTTTCTTTGCAAGCTCCAGGTAGACCCTTCGGAGTCACCTCAAGCCTCGTCCCCTTCAGTTCAGAACAGTTGTGCTCAGGAGCCAGAAGCTGAGTCCTTAGTGGAGGGGGCAGGGTTACTCTGAGGCAGGGGCTGCGCCTGGCCCCCAGGAGCCAGGGAATAGGTGCGCTTTGCTGTCCCCCAGCCCCGCCGGGTGAGCACTGACTGCCCCGAGGGCGACTGCCCCGACACCAGGGCCTGGGTGCCTCACTGCGCCTCTGCCTCTGAGTGGCCGTCGCTCCGGGGGCTTCAGACTGGGAAGCAGCAGCAGGAGTCCCTCTCCCTCACCCAGAGCCCTGCGCCCGATCTCGGCTCTGTGCGGAGCAGGAGACGAGTCTCTATGGCCAGTGAGTTTCTCCCTGCCTGCCCCGCCATCACGCAGAACACGCCAACCAGCTTGGGGCGATTCCAAGCAAGATGGAGGGGAGTGTCCATGGGCACCCGGTCAGCGTGGAGGCGGGCAGGGCTGGCAGTCACCCTGCACAGCGGATCCAGCAGACCGGCCCCCTTCCTGGGGCCCTGGCCTCCATCCCCCTCAAAAGGCTCTTTCTTCTGCCTGCGCTCGTCTCCCCGAGACTGGTTCGGCATCCCAGGTGTGCAGTCCCAGCCTCAAAGGAGCCATTGTGACCTTATCCAGTCTGGGATCTGTGGCCTGGAGACAGCGGCATCCCTCAGAGTTGCATGGTGCCGTCATGCTCCGGGGACGGCCATGCTGGGGAGCTGGGGAGCAACCCCTGGCAGGTCTGCTGTTTACAGAAAGAAGGAAAGGTGAGGGGGTGGGGCGGGGAAGGAAGAAGAGAAAGAAAGAGACTTGCACGTGACAGAGAAAGCGCCCCCCAATGGATGCTGCCGTGCTGCAGTCCCTTCTCCAGTCCACCCCCCACCCCACCCCCACCCAACCCCGGCAGGCTTTGGACACCCAAGGTGGTTTTCTTTGTTTATTTTCTGAAGACTTGAGGCCAAGATTTGAATCTCAAGATCAGCCCCTTGAGATCCAGCTTCCTTAACCACTAGATGGCCAGGCTGGCCCGAAGCTCTGTATTGTTAGTGACAGAGGTAACTTAGAGACATTGTTGCTTGACCTCCCTCAGAAGCCCTCAAGTGGGGCTCGGGCTCACGCATCGATGCCAATGGCGAAGACGCTGGAGGAGGAGTGACCGCAGCCCTGGGAAGTCGGTGGGAGTCAAGTCCCAGCCCCCAGTGGAGAGAGAGGGCCTAGAGTGAAGAAGCTTGTGGGGGGGCTGCCATTCTGGGGCGGAGCGTAAACCAAAGACCCCCAGCTCTGCATCAGTCCCCCTCAGCCAGGCCCCTCAGCTGAAGGGGCAGCACTCCAGGGGTGGGTGGCAGTCACTGGAGTGCTTTCTGGGTGAGGCAAACCTCATGTTCCTCCTGGGGCCAGCAGAAACCCCGCCTCCCCCACACCTCTCCCCAGCCTCCTCCCTACCTCTCCCCTGTTAGGGCCTGGCAGGGCAATACTTTAGCCTAAGGTGCCCAGAGTTCCTCTGTAAGAAACCCCTGGGGAGACCAGCAGTTGGTTTAATGGCTGTGTCACTGGACTCCCATGTAGTCGACCTGAGTCCCGGCCCGGTGGCTTAAACTCAGGCTGGGTACGTGTGCGTGCGTGCCCAAGATCTCAAGAAAAGAATGGAGGAGAAGGGATTGCAGCGTGGCCATCCCCATGGGGGGTGATTTCTCTCTTTCTGTCTCTCTGTCTTGCTGGTGAGCACACGCCCTATAGCAAAAACCTCAAAAAAAAAAAAAAAAAAAACTCCCTCGGGAGCACGAACCCCAGGTGGGGTCTCACTGCAA